TGCAGAGATCCACTCCCAGGCATGCCAAGTTTATTTAATTTAGATTGTCTTTTCATTTTTTGTATGTGTGTACCTGCAAAAGGGATGGGCTGCATCCTAGGAGGTTTGGGTTTTTTTTTCTCCCATAGATTTGAAGGGAGATGACAGCTATAAAATAGGTAAGTGGCAGGGCAAATTTTGCAGCTTCTATGCCTGGAGTCTGATTTTGGGAGAAGCAATGATCTCAGGACACTGCCTTCCTGGGCAGGAACAGCTCTGATAGAGCATTCTCTAGTGACCTCTCTGGTAGGGGGGGATTCACTGAGTTCAAATACCCTCCTGTGCATATTTTCCATATCTACTAATCTGGATCATTAAGCCATACAAGAAATTTGCACAATACCTCCCTGACAGCAGAAATTACGTGTTGCAGCTTCATTCTTTATTTGTTAAGCTCCTCAGATGTTAACTCTTTCAGGCACGGTTAATACCTGGTTTTTAGGCAGACAAACCCACCCCTGCTTCCTTGCCAGACTTGTGATCTTTTCCTCCTGTGAGAGTATCAGCACCAATAACAATCACCGCTTATTACTAAACACTCATACATCCTAGATGAATTAACCTGGCAAATTTGGTGGCTTGCAGCAAATAGCACATTGACCCATTTGTTGGTGTGAGAAACTTCTTTGCTGGCAGGAAAAATGCACCTCATGGGTTTTGGCAGTCATGTTGCTTGTGTCTCTTTGGTGATAGTAAGGTGATCCTTTGTCTGCTATGTGCATCACATCTACCTCTGGGCCTCTGAAGTATAACACCTGCAAGACAACTATAGCTGACAGTGTTTGGTCCCTCCTTGAGGAGGTGCCTCTCACTGAGTGAGCTGGGTCACAATGGCGTTTGTAGGGTTAACCCATGCAGTTTAGGAGAACACAGCTTTGCCTTCTGAGAAGTTTGTAGGACTTCCCTATAAGACGCAGTGTATTAAGTGGTTTGAGGCACATATGAATTTAGAGTAACTTTTTTCAAACGAACATCTCACAGAGACAGGAGGATTTTCTGTTAGGATTCCCATGTTAGAGGTAAGAGCGCAGAGACATTACCAAATACAACTGCTACCTGAAGCTGTCAAATGTGTTCATATCAGAAATCAAAACACATACACAGGCTTTTTCCTGCTGCCCTTTGCAAAATTAATAAATACATCCAAACTTCTGGCACTGCTACTAGCCTTTTTACATATGAAACATTTCACGTACATTCTGTTCTGGTGCTATGATGCTATGATGCTATGCAAAACGAAGCACAGTCTGAAAGGTCAGAAACATGTCTTTGTCACATCTCAGCACGTTCTGGTTGCCCACAGACAGCAGCAACTGATAAGTAACATTGACATTTCTTTGGAAAGTCATAGTTTTAAATTATCTCTATGGTCCTTCTCAGACTGCTGTAGTGTTTAAGACACTGATTAAAAAATGTAAAATTCAAAAAGAATAAACATTAAAAAGGAAAGTGAGACTCAGCTCACACAGCATTGCATCTGATCTCCTCACCCAGGCTTTCCTGGAATTTGGGCTGGCTGGCTGTGAGGAAGGTAGTGCTGAGTTCTGTGCTCCCATTCTGCACTGAGACATAGCACCCAGCCAATTCAAGCACCCAGCTTCCAGATAAGGCTGGTATCTGCCAGCCTGTCCCACAGTATGTCTTCAGCTATCTGCAGAAGGGCACACTGGTGTAGAAGTTTTCTCTCTGAAGCAGTAGATCTCCAGTCTTCTAGATATCGCCCATTAGTTAGATATGAGATGCTTGTTTACTTTTATATCTTTCAATCACCAGTGACTTTTCCTAAGCATCCCTTTGGCCTTTAACTATACTTCAGAGGAAGCTAGAAATAGCCTTGAAATATAGCCCTTTATCACTAACTGGTCAAAGTGTGCAAACATTAGACCAAGATTACTATTAAAGGTCCTGTTTTGTTCCTGCAGAGTTGGTCATATGGGCAGCTGCTGGGAAAAAGCAGTAAGAGTCAGGAACTGTTGAAATGCCTCACCATAGGAAATCCCTTGTGCAAGTATCTGCCTATATGTCTATTCCAACCACACTACCCAAGTCTTGGAAGGCAGACACACGGGCTGTGAGAATGAAGACCTTGGGCCCACTGTAGGATAGGATCTGGTTCTTAAAAACCTGAACATGCACAAGTCCATGGGACCTGATGAAATCCATCCGTGGGTTCTGAAGGAGCTGCCAAATGAAGTTGCTAAGCCATTGCCAATCATATTTGAAAAATCATGGCAGTCAGGTGAAGTTCCCGACAACTGGAAAAAGGGAAATATAACCCCTGTTTTCAAGAAGGGGAAAATTAATGACCCGGGGAATTACAGACCAGTCAGTCTCACCTCTGTGCCTGGCAAAATCTTGGAGCAGATTCTCCTGGAAGGCATGCTAAGGCACATGAAAAACAACAAGGTGCTTGGTGACAGCCAGCATGGCTTCACTAAGGGAAAATCCTGCCTGAGCAATTTGGTGGCCTTCTATGATGGGGCTACAGAACTGATGGACAGCAGTAGAGCAGTTGATGTCATCTACCTGGATTTGTGTAAACTGTTTAACACTGTCCCACACGACATCCTTGTCTCTAAATTGGAGAGACATCACTTTGATAGGTGGACCACTTGGTGGATAAAGAACTGGCTGGTTGACTGCACACAAAGAGTTGTGGTCAATGGCTCAATGTCCAGCTAGAGACCAGTAATGAGTGATGTCCCTCAGGGATCGGTGTTGGGACCGGTCTTGTTCAACATCTTTTTCGCTGACATGGACAGTGGGATTGAGTGCGCCCTCAGCAAGTTTGCCGATGACACCAAGCTATGTGATTCGGTTGATACGCTAGAGGGAAGGAATGCCATCCAGAGGGACCTTGACATGCTTGTGAGGTGGGCTGATGCCAACCTCATGAAGTTTAACCATGCCAAGTGCAAGGTCCTACACCTGGGTTGGAGCAATCCCAGGCACAGCTACAGGCTGGGAAGAGAAGAGATTCAGAGCAGCCCTGTAGGGAAGGACTTGGGGGTTCTGGTTGATGAGAAAATGAACATGAGCCGGCTTCAGTGTGTGCTCGCAGCCCAGAAAGCCAACCGTATCCTGGGCTGCATCAAAAAGAGCTTGACCAGCAGATCAAAGGGACTGATCCTGCCCCTCTACTCTGCTGTCATGAGACTTCACCTGGGGTATTGTGTGCAGTTCTGGTTTCCTCAACATAAAAAGGATGTGGAACTGTTGGAACAAGTGCAGAGGAGGGCCACGAGGATGATCAGGGGACTGGAGCACCTCCCGTATGAAGACAGGCTGAGAAAGTTGGGGCTGCTCAGCCTGGAGAAGAGAAGGCTGTGTGGAGACCTCACAGCAGCCTTCCAGTATCTGAAGGGGGCTTATAAGGATTCTGGAGAGGGACTCTTCATTAGGGACTGCAGTGACAGGACAAGGGGTAATGTGTTAAAACTTAAACAGGGGAAGTTTAGATTGAACATAAGGAGGAAATTCCTTCCTGTTAGGGTAGTGAGGCACTGGAATGGGTTGCCCAGGGAAGTTGTGAATGCTCCATCCCTGGAGGTTTTCAAGGCCAGGTTGGACGAAGCCTTGGGTGACATGGTTGAGTGTGAGGTGTCCCTGCCCATGGCATTGGGGTTGGAGCTGGATGATCTTAAGGTCCTTTCCAACCCTAACTATTCTGTGATTCTATGTGTTCTTAAGACGGTGAGACTGGAACAACAGTCATTCAGCTGCACTGACTGTAATGTTAGCACTATTCATTTGTGGTATGAACCTTCAAAACCCAGTCCTATATTTGCTTATGCCAAATACGCTCTTTTCTGACCTTATAAGGCCCTTTATGAGAGCTCATTGGCTTTCTTCTGTTTATTTAATTCTCTTTTGGTACTGGATGCCTTTTAAACACCACATCTTTTCAAGTCTGTCACTGTAAGGAGTGTATTATTTACCTGTCAGTGGCAAGGACCCAATGCTTAATGAAGAAGGTCATACAGCTGAAATGGAAGGAAGGTTGTCACTGCTAGCTGCTTGCAAAGCCACAGATTCAAGCTCTTCTGTTACACATCGGCTTCAAGCAATCAGTACCAGTTAACCTTTAACTCCATAAACAAATATCTTCTCTCATCCCTGTCCATCTTTCCAAGACAGCTTAACATCCCTGTCAACAACCCAAATCATTTATCCCCAAGACGGAAAAATGACAAATAATGATGGACAAAAGACAGAAATTGCAAGTCATTCTGGCAGTGGACAGGGAGAGATAATTTGGTTTGTATAGATGGGCAGAGAGCATGTTTTAGAATGAAAAAAAATCAGCGTGCTCTTGAAAGGGAGGGTTGGAAAAACACCTGACAAGGGAGAGCAAGCAGAAGCCCTTCCCTTGGAGATACTGAGTCCCTGGCCATGGGACGGGATGAGGGGGTGTCACATGAACCACAGTTGGGTCTGGAGGGAGGCAAGGACAATCTGATCAGCAGACCTAATGCTCTGTGTAGGATGTGACACCTACATAAAGCCCTGGGAAGGAGAAGAGGACTGCTTCCACATTTCAGTCAGCCCTTGAAGAAGGAGGGAAGCAGGGTTTTTTTTGTCAAAAGCTCACTGTGGAGAGAGGGCAAGGATGTACTGATGCATACCTCTGATTCCCATCCCTCCTAACCAAAGGAAGAGCTTCCCTGTTTAGCACCCTCCATCCTAAGCCACCAGATTTTCTGTTTTTCTGGATTGCCTGGAGCCAAAGGAGAACAGGTTGAAATACTCATCCTCTCCTCTTCAAAGCCATCAAATCTTGAAAGAGCAGTACTGTGTTAAACCCTCTCCACCCAAAGGTATATGTTAACAACAGAAATAAACAAATGACTCAAATAGGTGAAGAAATAAATAAGAGCTCGCTGAGCTGGATAGTGCTTCTTTTTATAGCTGTTCTGTTCTCTACCAAGAATCGGAGAGTGCTCTCTTCCTGCAAACTGCACACTCAGAAAAAAATGAATTTATTAATACTTATAGAAAAATACACCACTTGTTTTAAATGTCCTTATGTTTAGAACAAGAACATGGAGTTTAATCCATAGTCTGCAAATTTTGAAGTGGTGGCAGGTGGAGAACAAATTCCCATCATAGGAACATGGTTCTTAGCTTAGTGCTGTCCTTCAAAGTTCAAATATATGAGTTGGTATCCCGGTGTTTCCGTTTCTTGCCACATTTACCGAAATGACTGAAGAAACAGAAGGGGAGAGGTGTATAAGTGTGAAAGAAGAAGGAAAAGACGTAGCCCAACTTTCAGTCCAATCCACAGTACTGAAACATTTATTTTCTGCATGAAAATTTTCTCATTCTTTAGTTTGTGTATTGAAGCAGGCAGAAGTTACTGATGCAATATCCAAAGCCACTGCTTGAAACATTAATGTATAATGCTATCTCCTCAAGAAATTAAGCCAAGCTGTAAATGTTCCCTGCACGCCTACAATGCAATGAAGAGCCTGAATTGCTGCATGTCGGGAGTGGGAAAGACATGCCTGCAACTTTTCAGATATATATTCATCCTGTACATGACTTTTTAATGACTTCACAAACTGTGGAGGTGTTCCCATGATCAAGGGCCCTTCTTCACAGGATTGAGGTTATGGCTGGTTTTCTTGAGCAGAGAATTGCAGGCTGTACTTTGAAGTATCTCTCTTGCTCACTATTTATTTCTGCTTCTAGAGGTACATAGGACAGATTTCTCATGTTTCCATGAGAAAAATACATGTTCTATCCCCATACTTTTTTTAACAACTTGCCTTAATGAATGGTACTGAAAATTTCAAATGTATATTGAGGGAAATATCACATCGACCTGACTAGGGAATTTACTTTGACATTTGGAAAACATCATTAATAATTTATGACAGCTGATGAAGTTGGAGAAGAACACCATCAGGAAACAGCACCTAAGTAAAAAGGAATAAAATACATATCATACCTTGAAAGCTGCTCCACATCCTCCACTGTCTCTGGTAAGGAGATTCCCTTTGTCTCTGGTAAAAGGAGTACCAGGAGCCCACAGACAACTGCGAGAATACCTATGGTGAACATTGAAGATATACAAAAAACAATAAGAAAATTACTTTTCTTATTTTCAGAGTTTATCCACTGAGGAAAGTTTATTCAGATAAAGGTTGGTTTAGTATTTTTGAAGCACAACAGTTATTTCTGATTACATCTGTAATGTTACACTAATCTTATTAGACACCTATATGCTACATAAATTTAACCTATTATAAAAAAAACCTTAAAGCTAGAGCTTCATTTGCAGCCTGAACTGGTCTCAGAGGGAGATCTTAAAAGTCAAAAGCCTCAGATAAGTGCACATGGACAAATGCATACAAACTGTGGTGTAATCAGAACATTATTTCTCATATTAGATAAGGCTTTGTCTTGCAGATGCCTCGATGTTTCTTGAGACCACTGAGATTTTCCTGAATTAGCCTCTTCATGTATCCATGACCAAAGTAGATTATGTGATTCAGGCTAAGAATTCATCCTTGGGAAAGAGCATTCAGATAGAGAACCAGTTTGAAATTGTTAATTAGGAATGGTTATTTTGGAATAATTTTCTGTGTGGATATAACTTAAATAAAGTAATAAATAAAAAATAGAAGGGCTGGAGCAAAAAGTAAAATGCTCCCTGACTGCTGCACAGCCCTCCCTGATTCCCTCTGGTTTTGCAGCTCTTTACTCATGAGGGAATTCAGCAGCAGAGTTTCAGCATTAGGTAATGTGAACACTGCACTGCTGTATATGTCTGTTCATGGGTTAACGGTAATCTTTCAAAATGTCTTCTTTCCATTTTTGTTTTCAGCTAAAGTTGTCATTAGCACCAATTTCCCTACTTATTCTATCCCTTTTGCATTCAACGCAGTCATGTGTATCTCCTGGAAGTCTGGTTTAGCCACAGATTCACGTTTCCATGTGGGAAATAAGTATTTTATTTAATTTTTTTGCCCACAGAATTACTCCACAGGGATAATTTTTTTCTAAAATGCAACTGCAAAAAAGAGTTTGTCAGTAATATGAAGTTATTTATGGTTAATACAACGCCCGTGGTCATAACTGTACCTGCCGAAAAACCCAAACCAAGTATTTTTTAAAAGACATTAACCTCTACTCCAGGGAGACTAAGCTTACTTCTCTGTAATTACAGAACTTAGCTGTAAGTTTTCTCAGTCTTAAAGCACCTCACATAGTTTCTTTTATGCTCCTTCAGCCAAGTTATACAAGCAGACCTGAGCAAATCCATGGCCTGCCATGTAATCAATCACCCACACGTCAGCCATTTGCCATTCAGCCTCTTGCTCTAGGTGTGAGGGTTGAGAGGAGCTGGTCTGAATGGGAGATGAAGCCACACATTACAGTTTTGCCCTGAAAGAAAAGCTCTGTTAGGAGGAGAATATTTAAACCAAAAGTTGATTTTAAATCAAATCTTACAGAAGATTATTAGAGGTAGCTCCAACCAAACGGCTGCTAATCGGAAAAGCAGGAATGGGGCTATGATCCCTCCTAGGTCACACAAACTCGAGCACAGGGAGACACCAAAGTTTCTGCAAAAGAAAAATAGTGCCAGGTATTTGTGAGGAGCTACCAAACAGATGAACCAGCAGTTTAAGGAGCAGAACATAGGCTTAGATCAAAAATTATCCTGCCAGTTTATGCCATTCACATTGAGCAGTGGCTACTCATTTATGAAACGCTGAACAAAATGAAGTTTACCAAACAGTGGTGAAATAGGGAATGGGGAAAAGCAGGAGACATTGAAAGATTCCAGGGAGCTTTCCACATACCTCAGTGTCGTAGGGTACAATTCAGTGTTCACAAGATAGACAATTTCAAAAGCCATCGTGATGCCCAGTCTTCCCAGTGTGGCAACTGTCATTTTAAGCCATAGGATATCTATTTATTCAAAGAGAAAACCTGCTGAAGTGTGTTTTGCTGCACCAGCAGAGCATTTCTGAGAGCCCCAGGCCCTGTCAGCAGAAGCTCTATCACAGAAACACTGGATCAGTGCAAATCAGAGTGAAAAGCCACTGATGTAGATATCAATTTCTACTGGCATTTATTGTTTTTCAGCACCACGCCAGGCTGTTCTGGAGAATCAGAAATCACTTCTTGTTGATTGATTCAAGATGCTGGTGGGGCATAACAGCCTGGATGGGAATAAGTTTCCATGACCACATCCAAATTGTGCTCTGGAAAAGAGCATTTATTTATATAGGGATGTCATGCTGTGAGAAACGCATGTGAGTAACTCAACACATGTTAAGTGACCACATGTTAAGTCACCTCCCAAAGCCTTCTGACCACAGATTATCTACCTCTGAAAGTGCACAGAATCACAGAATCAGCTAGGTTCTAAAAGACTTCTAAGATCATCGAGTCCAACCACAAACCTAACTCTGCCAAGTCCACCAGTAAACCATGTCCCTAAGTGACACATCTACATGTCTTTTAAATACTTCCAGGATGCTACAGGAAAATAATTCTCCCTAGGGTAAGCCAACTACACTTTCTAATTTGTTTAGCCATTGCTCATTAGACACACTCCTAATAATGCTACTCCTGGCCATCCTCCCCCTTCCTTCCCCTGATGCTTGACTTTGTACCTAGCACGAACAGGCCAGGAGCCTTACCCTGCCCTGGTGGCTCTTCCTAGCTCACCCAGGTCTGCTTGAGCTTTGTGGTGTGGCCACTACTCTGTATACATCAGGAGGAACCCCTTATTCATCAGTAGGGAGTGGAAAGGTCACATCCACACCACAGGGCACAGCCGCTCCATCTGGCTTTGTGTCAGAGTTCCCTCTCCAGAAAGACAGTGTCCTCTGGAGGAGCATCACAAGGAATGCAATAAGCACTTCTGCAATGCCCTTGGGAGAAGCCAGTTTCCTGTATGGTCTGACTACGAAGAGACAGATGGGGAGGCAAATGAAAGAACAAGTGTGAAATCAGCACAAAGGGGAGCTCTGCCACTGGAGAGGTCTCTGGCAGTGATTGTGTTTTCTCAGAACTTCAAGAGAAAGAACAAGAAAACATTTCAGTTTGCTCTGAAGCAAAACTGAGATGCTCAGGGTTATTTCCCTTCCAAAATAACCAAACAAACCCTCATTAAATTTCACCCCATGCTGCGAGACACTGAAAACTTCTGGCTTATGTTTGTATGCTCTTCTCTTGCATTTGCCTTCAAAAACAGTACAAAGACTTTATACACATTCTCTCTAACACTACACCCAGCTGTTGCTCACCACCCATCAAAGATACAGCCATTACATGTCCCAGGGCACTCTATAAGCAAATGAGGTATGTTGTTCCATGACTGCAATGCTGTTGTATCACCGAACACTTTTCACTTTTGTTTACAGTTTTGTGTGGCCTGCTGTCCTTGCTTAAGGGGTGTCAGAGAGAAGTCATTGACCTAAAGACCCTGACACTGGGAGGGGAATTACCTTCTGGCAAAAAGGCAGTAATGAGGCATGCAATTCCCGCCACAATGTTGCTTATTGCAAAAGGAAGGCGACGGCCGATGCGGTCAATTGTCACTAAAATCAGGAGAGCAGCAGGCAGTTCTACAGCTGCCGAGATGAAGAAGTCTAGGTAGAGGTTTCCTCCAACAATTCCTAGGCGCATGACAAGCCCTTGGTAGATCAGGGCACTTGTGAACCTAAACAGCAAAGGGAAAAAAGTGTTGAGAGGCAAACAAATGGCTGCAAGCAGCTGCAATGACCTTAAACATCACAACAGAATTTTTCTTCAAAACCCACTGCCATGGTAAGAAACTGGACTGAAGTGGGCACTCACCAGGCATACATGAGGATGAGGGTGTTCCTTCTCATCCCGGGAGTCCTCATCAGGCTGAGAAAGGAGGGGTTGCTGACCTCCTCGTTGCTAATAGTGATCTGAGGAGAAAAGCGAGCAGTCAGCTATCAGGGGTCAGGCAGGCAGTGCAGCAGAGTTTCTATGTAAGCATGGTGCTCAGCAATATTCCAGTCCAGTGAGCTAAGGTGCCGACGAGCCAGCTCTGCTGCTATTAGCACTCCAGAGCCATGTGCAGTTATGGAGAAATAACGTATAACTGGGCTGTGGGCTTTCATTAAGGATGGTCATGTAAAAGTCAGGAAAAAAGTCCCCAGTCCTGACTTCAGAGTGGAGCAATGATTCCCTTGATGTAAACTGAGAGAAGCTGACCTGGAATTTCTTGGAAGGCAATAGGCAGTTGTTCTCATTTCAGGGTCAGAAGCAGAGTTTATATTCTGACGGAGGTGAGGGAGAGGAGCAGACCATGGCAGAAAGGGCAAAGCAATAGGCTGGGGGGAAGGAGGGAGACAGAAGGTGAGCAGCAAGCAATAGACTTGGGAACATGGCACAGCTGGGCAGCAGGAAGGATAGTGAGAGAAAAAGCAAATCTGTAATGGCACTTGGGTGCTACAAAACATTCAACTGGTGAAATGAAGAGGGTCTTAAAATACACGAGCACTGTGCTGAACTGTACTTTTAAAAATACAAGCTGTACTTTAAAAATGGCTTTTGCTCTGTAAGAAAAAATCCTGAAAATATTAATTAATGGCCCTCATACTGCCTACAAATTATATTAAATTTGTTTTCAGCTTCCTCCAATACAGACACAATGAGGGACTTAATGAAATGATTAGTTAGAAGGTTTAGCAATAACAAAAGAGGGCAGGGTTTCACATAGCCTGTGTTTACAAGTTGGAGTTCATGTTGCCACAGGATATAGTGGAGCAGAGATACATCAGCAGGGCCAGAAAGAGTTTAGGCACATTGATGGAGGCTGTTTTTAACACTGATGGCCAGCAGATAGTAATAGTGATGCCTAAGCCAGATGGGAGTCCCTTTGTTCATATGTTCATTTGATGGGCAAGGAACATGAGAAAGAGAGGTGGAAGTGACTTTAGGCAGGGACAAACTGTGACACGACCAAGAACTAACAGCCACATCCAGGACTCCCATCAGCTCTCTAATCAACTGTGGGAAACATGGGGTTAAGCCTGCTGAGTCCTTTCTAGGAGGATTTCAGGCAGCCCGGCTCCTTTGACTCTCAGTTACTGTTCCCCTCCTGAGAGGAGGCCTGAGAAGCAGAAACCCAAGGAAACAACCTGGATAGTGGGGAAACATGGGTAAAAGGATGGAGAACATGCAGATCCATGAGAGCACAGGTAAAGCCAAAGGCATTGCCCAAGGCTCTTGTCAGCTCAGCCAGGGCTATGCCTAAAGCTTTTCCTCTGTATTTGGTTTTCATATCATAAGGTAGCATAGATGTTTTCAGTGAGATTTGGCTGGATGTACTTACACATGACTTTTTCATAACTGAGTGACACAAAACTTTGTAAGTGGACAGAGAAATCCCACATTTGTTTGAACTTCCTTTCTACTGCCCCTTGCTTTTCTTCTGTAACCAAAGCCAGTTTTCTTCAGAGCACTGCCACTTCTGCTGCATGCCAGAGACCTCTGTGAGGCAGGCAGACATTGCTGGGTTTCTGCACTGCTCTTGGACTGTCTCATATCAGTCATAAAGCTGCCATGACTGTGTTTATAGGAGCAGGCTGCCAGCCATCAGTTTTGACTTTGTGCAAATATGGGGTTAGTTTTCCAAAGGACTAAAGATGAATTCAGCATAGCTGCTACCATATGTTTTTATGACTTAATAAAGTCATAATGACCCCAAACATGACTGAGCATTTTTTAGGGATGAAGAAAAAAAATCACTGTGGAAAGTCAACTCTTTGTAGGGAAAAAAAATCCTCTTTTTGTTTTTTGAAGTCAAGGAGAGCTTTGCTATTCACATCAATGCAGTCAGGAATTCAATGGCAGAGCCCATGTTTCTAAAGATAGACTATTCTGCTCTCTTAAGATGCAGCTCTTACTCAGCTGTTTGCAATCCAGTCTTGTCTGCTTTGGACGGAGACCAAAAAATCAAAAAATATCTTGGGGAAAAAAATAAAACAAACAAACAAAAAAAAGGGTTTCTAGTTTACAGTTAATTTAATGAGTTTTGAATGGAGCTGTACCAGTGTCGCAACTCACAGAGCAAAGGAAGCAAATGTTTATCTGCTTTCATACAAAGGTCATCTACATGCCAATAAAAATGCAATGCAATGCTGCCACATCCAAAGCCATGTAAGGGATTTGGCCAAAGTAACTGTTACAGATGTACTGGAAAATCTAAGCCAAAATTCATAGATGGGTAATGTCTCTCACTCCTCCCTGTCCGTCCACACCTGCAGTGCTTTGCCTGAAATCCTGGGGGTGCTTCATGAAAGACAAGTCTGACGAGAGTTAATGTGAGAAATAGGCTTGATCTGTGACTAATGTGCTTCCTGGAGATGGCCTCTTTCCTCTGGGCACAGCACCAAGGATAAAAGACATTGTTTATTGAAAAGGTCCCAGGAACAGATCCAGCATGAATCTGGGTGTATGGAGGTTAATCTGCTGAGGCTGAGCGGCTTAAGCTCATAAGCAGGGACACTTCTGAAAAAAAATTGAATATAACTTCAATAAAGCAGGGAAGGACACATCTCCGTCCTGACATAACACTGTAAAAATGCTGATATTTAGAGAAGGAAGTGGGTGTCTGGACATAAGGCTGAAAGCACAGGGGAAGCTGCAGCAGCACAGCCTTCCTGCTATATGCCTCCACCCACACTCAGCACTGGGTAATGCTGACCGTGATGGGGGAATCTCACCAGTTCATGTGCCCAACAAGGACAGTAATCCATAGAATCATAGAGTCATAGAATAATAGAATGTTTTATGTTGCAAGGGACCTTAAAGATCACCTACTTCCAATACCCCTCTCTGGGCAGACAGGATTGCTCAAAGCTCTGTCCAGCCTGGCCTTGAGCACTTCCAGGGATGGGGCAGCCACAACTTCTCTGGTGAGCATATTCCAGTGCTTCACTACCCTCATAGTAAAGAATATCTTCCTAATATCTGATCTAAATCTCCCTTCTTTCAGTTTAAAGCCATTCCTTATCTTGTCACAACATGTCCTTCTGAAAAGTCCCTTTCCAGCATTTTTGTATGCCCCCTTTAGGTACTGGAAAGCTGCTATAAGGTCTCCATGCAGCCTTCTCTTCTCCGGGCTGAGCAAGCTGAACTCTCTCAGCCTGTCTTCATAAAACAGATGCTCCAGTCCCCTGATCATCCTCGTGGCCCTCCTCTGCACTTGTTCCAAGAGTTACATGTACTTCTTATATTGAGGGCCCCAAAGCTGAACACAGAACTGTAGGTGGGGTATCATGAAAGCAGAGTAGAGGGTGAGAATTGCCTCCCTTGACCTGCTGGTCATGCTGCTTTTGATGCAGACCAGCATATAGTTGGGTTTCTGGGCTGCAGGTGACACTGCTGGGTCGTGTTGAGCTTCTCATCAACCAACACCCCCAAGTCCCCCTCCTTGGGGCTGCTCTCAATCCAGTTGCCCCCAACCTGTAGCTATGCCTGGGATTGCTCTGACCCAGGTGTAGGACCTTGCACTTGGCATGGTTAAACTTCATGAGGTTGGCATCAGCCCACCTCACAAGCATGTCAAGGTCCTTCTGGATGGCATTCCTTCCCTCCAGCGTATCAACCTAACCACACAGCTTGGTGTCATCGGCAAACTTGCTGAGGGCACACTCAATCCCACTGTCCATGTCAGCAACAAAGATATTAAACAGATGACTGCACAAAATCATTAGTCCAGAGTCATAAATCCTAAGAGACATAGTACAGGTTAGGGCCCAGCTTATCTGTGGAACTTGTTGGGTGAACTCTACCTTCACAAAACTGCCATCAACATACACTTAATGAAGTGGAAAGATAATGAATATTGGTATAAATCAATTGGCCATTTCCATACAACAGCTGTTGCCATAGATGTCTTCCTGTGTGCACTATTATTTTTATCAAAGGAATGGTCCTGAATAAGCACAGCTGCTTAGGCTAGATGGCTGATTTATGGGACCTTTTTCTCACCAGGTAAAAAAATCCTATGGATTTGAGAACAGCTACGTGTTGTTTCAGAAGAGTGCCAATAATTACTGCCAAAAATTAATCCAGAATTATACTCTAGGACTTTGGTGAAGCAATCCCACTTTTTTGGATGAGCTGGGCTGAATTCTCAGGTTCTCTCTTGCTTAAGAAGAGCAATTAGAAAAACATAGGTAAGGTAGCAAGCAGTGGGAACTTAAGTTGTCAACTACCGGTTACAAAGCACACACATCATGATGTTCCTTCCCGAAAGGATGGAACATATCAGTGTCCTTCAGACACTACCATCCCAAAGTCTTTGCTTTTGGTATCAGTGAAAATTTAGTTAACATAATACTTCTACATACGTATAAAAATGTACGTATATACATGTGTGTAGTCATAAAGGATACTACCATGCACTGATAGGCATTTTATGCGGGTCATTTCTTTTCAATAAGAAAATCAAACTTTCTTTCTAAAATACTTGTAGCACATTCAGCATGCCAACTCTGGGCTGCTGTGTACTAACGATTTGCAACCATTTTTCTTAGTTCAAATAATGATTCCTAACATTTCTTTTGCTAGCATTTAGGCTCCAGACATAGTTTATTACAGAACAGGAACTTTGACACTTCAGTTGTCACTGAAGCATAAGACCAATGCCATAACGACCCAATGAAGAAAAAGGCAAATGCTGCAATGACATGACAAGCATCATATGAAATGCATCAGTCCTTTCAGTTCCATCAAAGGACTGTAATTCTAACATACACTGTCTTGTTTTGTAAACAGTGATCTTAGAATGTCCTTCCTCTATTTGGGATTTTGGGGCATATTTTCCCCTTACTGAGAGAGAAGCAAATTCTGATTTCATTTTCCTTTTGAGCTGCAAAAGGACGTTCTAGCAAAGGAACCACAAAAGTGGATCCTGCTGTCTCCACTCACTCTGTCAGCTAAAATGGCAGCTGCTGTGAAATCTCATGGGCCCTCAGGCTATTTTCTGGTATTTCCCACAAGTTTTTAAAGCAGGAGTGTTGCAAATGAAATGCCTGATTCATTGTTTCGCAAACTTCTTTTGTCAGATCATGTCTTTCTGGCCAGTTCATTTTGATTCTCTTGCAATTAGCAAAGTAGGTACGGGACTGACAATCTTGTCCTGGTGTGACACATCAAGAGTGTTGCCATCACATAAAGAGGAAGCATTTTAACAAAACTGAACCTTCAGAAGAGTAAGAAAGTTTAGAAAAGAACCTCTAGCTCAAATAGATAACAATACCTCTGAGTAATGTGGGGAGAGATATTTCCCATTGTGCTTTGCAATGTTGTGCATGATTTTTAATGCTTTGTCTCCCTTCTTGCGTGTCAGAAGCCAACGTGGAGATTCAGGAACCACCCTGTAAGAGCACAGAAGTAATGAACAGGGGTTTGGCCCTTTAACATTATAAGTAAACTGAAGTCCTTTGCCTTTTGCCTGTGTTAATACACAACATACAGATTTTTCAATCTTTGGGATACAGAACTCTTTCGTGGACTGCTTTTCCCATCAGTCTGCTGTAAATTACCTAATCCTTGTGGGCAGGAAAGCAGGAAATAGGTTATATCAGTGCTCCACAAAGTTAGAAAATAAGAAATCTAAGTACTGTATTTGTACAGTTGATGTCAAAAGTAGGATAACTAACAGACAAACAAGGTGCCTTGTTTTCAAGTAACAATGAAAGCACTAAACACATGTATTACCAAGTACAGACAGATTGGGAAACATCTAGCTCTATTATTATGAGACACGCAAACACATAAACCTATACATGTTTTATAAATTGAATACAAAGCAATAGTACTGATAGATGTTTCAGTTTCTGCTGGGCAAGGGTTAATATAATTCACAATTTAAAAGTTCACAACAGGCAATATTTAAGGAAACAGTGGGCAAGAAGAGGCTATGTGGATTAGTTTCTGTGGATCCAGCCCACAGGATGGCTGCACTCCACCATGGCATAGTGCTCTGCTCTCATGTTAGCTGAACTGCCCCAATTCACGGAAGGACCTTCAGGGCAAGTTCAGGTTTGAACTGAGTATATAATCAGAGGTAAAGGTGGCGTCCCATGGATCATGGTCAACCAGACTTTGGTCAAGTGAACCAGATATACAACCCCATGTTAAGCAAGGTAGGGTTCTGTGAAGGGCCAGCTGTGGCTTACAAGGGAGGCAAACTCTGTACAGAAAAATGAAACAAATGTACGCCTGCAATTCACTAAAAGGTAAAAATTCCAGAATCAACAATGTGTAAATATCTTCTTCCTAACCTACAACATCTTGCACACTGGAGACTTTGGACCACAGCAGGACTCTCAAGGTGCTTGAATAGCAACAGCAATAATGACAAGAGCAATGACTGCAACATTACCAGTAGTACAGCAGGAAGAGGAAGTTGGGCAGTGATATGGCCAGCTGGACCCCTTGCCAGGTGGGAATCAAGTATGCAATTCCAGGGAGAATCATAATTCCCAGGGTGAAGAATATCTGAATCACAATCCCAACAATCCGCTGGTCAGAACCAACAATCTCTGTCACTGATCAGAGAGAAAGCCGAAATAAACAACACAGAAACAAAACTAACATGAAAGAAAAACGTTAGTGGTGGAACGTAAGGAAGGGTAGTACTGCATCAGGTCACAAGTCTGTCTATCCCAGCATTTTGCCTTCAGAAATATAAGTATGTTCAGGGCAAGAGTAGGTGACACCCCCTCATCAGTTCACCCCCTGTTCTTCAGCTAGCAGGGTCTCTGAGTGCATGTTTACTAATGTACTAAATAGGGCCAGAACAAAGAGTTGAGACTGTGTCATGATCACCTTTAGTAGTAAATTGTTAGCACTCTTCTATGCCACAGACTAGAGAACCATCCAGGCAGAGGCTGCTCTCAGTAATAATATGGGCAGGACAACTGTGGGGAAGAGAGTTTAGCCATACCATGCTGGTTTCTCTGAGGGCTAAGGTATAATCCACACTTTGTTTTATTTACTAGAGCAAACATAGCCTTTGTTGGTTTGTTTTTCAAACTTTGTTGAATTTGTTTGTTTTGTGAATGGGACTAATCACTTCTGAAAGCCATGTAAGCCCATATTTCAGGCAATATCCCATGGCCATGACATCCATAGTTGAGATGAGCAATGCTTGAAGAAGTGTCTCTTGTTTGTTTCAAAACTGTCACGACTACCTACCCCTCAAAGCAAAAGCAGAGGGTTTTACCTTGCTTTAAAATATACAAAAACTTTTTTTTTTTTATTTTTCTGAAAGAGATGCAATTTTGCAAGTAACAGTAATTCATTTCAGCTGGCAACACAGAGAGATAAGACACCATTACTATCGACTATTCACCGTGTCTGCATGGCTATGGGGCAACTCTTGCCTAAAGGTAGCTGCTCAAAGCTGGCTTGGAAAGAGCTAGGTTATATGTACAGGTTCTTGGGTCAGCCTGTTGTGATTCTGAAGCGCCGATCAGTAGCTTGGGAGATGTATTAATGGCAACCATCCTCCTGGTGCAACAAAACCAATGACCTGTATATGCCTCTTTAAATGTATTAGGCTGGTAAATACTCTGGGTGATCCTGAGTCATAAGAGTAGATCCTTGAAGAGATTTAGAAGGAATCACTCTCTTCAAGAATTAAGCACCTTGCTCAGGGCTGAGGTAATACACTGTCCTTCAGGAAAGTACCGTATCTCTGAACCTTTCCCTGAAATTGGGCAGTCTGATACGAGCATTGCAAACCATTTCTTTCTGTTAAAACTTGTCCATTTTAAGGAACATTTTGCTGGTTAGAACACTCACCAAAGTTTTAGGATAAGATCTCAGTATAAAATTAGGCCATCTGCTTGGAAGTGAGGGGAAAAACAGCTTTTCACTCTTTCCCTGGATCTTGGACCTGAGCTATTCAGCAGTGTAACTTTGCCCACAAAATTGAGGTGTGTCTGGGCTTTAAGTCCTGAAAGGGCCAGACAGGTATGTTTGCACATACATCACCACAGTGTGCTTAGGTCTCACTGTAACTGTTTACATCTGCTTGCAATTCTGCTCTCACTCATCTAGAATCCACTAGGAAGTTAAAAACATTGTCCCACCCCTTACAGACTACAGTGATGTTACAAATTTTTGCACTACATAATGGTGTTATCACTGTGTTTTGAGTAGATTATTGAATGGCTGGTTTTTGTTTAAAGTAAATCTGATGTCTCATCTATAGGATGATGCTTTCTTCAATGTGATATTTCATGTTTTAAAGAAGAGTTTCCTTTTCTGAACCTGGCTGTCCTTCAAGATGCCACAACAATACCCTTTTCTCATGAAAAGTTAGCTTGCTACACAAGGAGCTGCACTGCTGGGCATGACAATGAGCTATCAGATAGTCTTGATCTTTGCTGGTTTGATGCTATTTATAAAATAGCTTCCATCTTTTTTCTTTTTCAGGAAATCATAATCGTAATATGGACCCTGGTGTCCAGCTGGCACTATGCAAAGCCTCCCAGCTGAAGAATGAAGAGCAGACATCCAAGCGTTTGCCCTTCCAGTGAGAAAAAACAGTTGACTAACTCCTCTGAGTGTCTATTCAAGATATTAAGACTCTGCCAGAATTAATCACATCCCTATTTGTGTACCCAGGCTTGCTCTGTAGATTTTGATCATCTTGGTGATTTTCAGTGCCATAAGAAAACCCCTGTATATACACATTTCACTCCTCCACCCCTTAATTATTTATGTTAATCCCTCCCCATCAGACTCTAGAGATGGGTACTGAAGGAGAGCTTGGACAGTTCTGAAGGACACATCACTCTCGTTACACTGCCCTCTTGCAATTACTTCCTCACTCTTCTCCTTAGGATTCTATGAGGTCAGGCAGGCATGTACACTGCTGCTCATTTCCATCCTATATCAGTATTGAAAACCAGAAAGAGTTTGCACTTGCTGCCCTTCTCAGAGGGCAACTCCCTACAAATAAATCAGCAGACCTCCCCAGGTAAGGAAGCACTGTCCTGTTTAGCTGCTAGAAAGATCCCTAGTATGGTCTGGACAAAGGCCGGTGATTGCTTCCTCAAACATTCAGTTCAGGCATGAGCCCAGACCATGGACAATGTCAAGTTACAGTATGCATGCAGGCACCTTGTCTTGGAGGACAAATGCATTAGCTAGGATGGATTTGGGTTATTCATTGTCTGCTGATCCCAGGGACAGTATTTTGTTGCCAGGAAAAAAATATTATTAAGAGCACATGTCACCAGACACATTGTCCTCCAAAAATCACTTGGTCTTCCTAATAAGAAAAGAAGAAAGATAACAGCTCTCACCAATCACGTAGCATGTCATCCAGGTTCCCTTGCTAAACACGCCTTGGAGAAAACGGAAAATCAGAAATACAGTGAAGTTTGGTGCGAATGCCACTATGATACCACATATCCCAACCCCGAGACAGGAGAGCAGGTAGGTGAGGATTCTGCCATATCTGTTGAAAAGGGAAAATAAAGTGAAAATTACAAAAACCATAAAGGTGGGTTTTATCCCCTGGCATCTCATTTTAATGCTTGATCCGAAAGCACTTTTATGAGACCAGTCTTGTTCCAAAGGGAGGCTGCCTGAAACATTGCAGTGTTGGCCCTTGGGATATAGGAATCTTTTACCTGTGGGAGTTATCACTGCCTTCATGTCACTGACTTTAAAACTGGTGATGTCCCAACAGGCTCCTTTTTATGTTAGAAAACAGTTTGTCTTTTTTAATCTAAACTGTGGTCCATATGTTACAGTTCAGATTCTTGATCCAGTTGAAATAAGGGAAACCTTCGCTGGGGATTTCTGTTTTCACAAATTAGTCTCCTAAGAGTAGTTTCAGCCAGCTCTGTGAAAGTAAGTAATTTCTTCTTTAACTACTCTATGTGGTTTTCCAGTGTTTTGTTTATGCTCAGATTGCTTGTTTTCAAAGTCAGCGTAATGTATTCATGAGTCTCATTTTCCAGCAAAACCCATCATTATTAATAGACATGCCCAAGGAAAGCTGTAATTCAAAAAAACAAACAAACAAAAAAAAACAAACCAACAAATAAAACCCAACAAAACCTGCCTGCAGCTTCTTGGAAACTGTGTCCTTGGAACACAACTGAAATTTCCATTTTGTTCCCTTTTCCATTGTTGCTGCTGCTCAGTTAAGAAGAATAAACTAAAAATTATGTAACTATTTACCAGAAATTATTTGAGAGAACATGTGTTTGATCATTTTGTTCAAAAAGTTTTGAGAGAAGAATTTATACAGGACAAAAACTTAGGGTATTTTCAGCCAAGTCCGTCCTGTTCAGTGCTGCCAAGGAGACAAGAATCAAATGGTCTGGCTGTAGCACATTCTCCAGTGCTATCAGTGCATAACATTCATAGTTGTACGGTAGTCATATTATGCTTAGTACACAGGTACTCCTATTTTAATAATTAGCTGTGATATCTCTACGTTTACACAGTCTTAAGGTGCTGGTATCACAACTGCCCAGCCAGACACTGAGCAGAGATACCTTAAGCTAGCCAGTGCCATAGCATCTTTTCCGCCTTACTTTTCTCCCTATTACTATATCCCTTAGAAAGAAGTGGTTTTCCTTGCTAATTCAAACTTTATTATCTGAGATGACATTCCAGATAATTTCGTAAATATTCATGCCTACAAAGAAATTGTACTTTAGTTATTATTATGATTATTGTAGGTAGCAAATAAAACAGGTAGAACAAAAATGTTCTGCTATTGAAATCATTAGTAGTGCTCTCAGCCGATGCATAGGCTGACTACTGTTACTTATCAGCAAAAGCACAAACCCAGCTTCCTCCTTTACCCTAAGAGCAAGGTAGAGCTTATGGGAGCTTCCCACTCCTGGGCAGGGTGGCTACTCAAACCTGAGTATCACCTACGTCTTTTCCTTGGTATTCATCCAGATCTAACAGAGTTGAGGACCAGCTGGAGGGAGCTATGACCTTGGTGGTAAGCATATGAGTCCAGTCTGTGGATGGATAGAGTTACCATACTTTGTGCCTTCCTTCTTTCTTCAAGTAGTTGCTTTCTTCATCAATAGTGCCTATTAAACATTCTTTGGTAAAAGAATGTTTAGTCCAGAAAACTCTAATGAATGCTTCCTTTTAATTTCTGTGTCCTTCTCCCCTTCCTGGGTCCAGATGTGCACAGAAAACAGGAGAAATGGCAAGAAAAGCTCTTTTCATGACATTTTAAAGTCTGAACAGGATCAGTAAGCATGATGGCATGAGGTTTCCAGGCCAAAAGGACACAAAGATAACATTGGTTGATGTTGTTAACCCAGGCTGGGAAAGTTTATCCAAAGTGAATTAAACCCTAAAAATGTTGCCGCATGCTTATTGCAGGTGACATTACAAGTAATTTCACCTCCGAACAAATCAAAGGACAGAAAAGCTTACACAGTACCTGTCTGCAGCATAGCCCAGGGTGAACGCGCCAGCCAGAAACCCCAGATTGAGGACAGCTTGTGAGAGATCCAGCATCCAGGCATTGCCGCACACAAGGTTATACTGTGGGAACAAAGGAGAGGCATAAACACCCAAGATGTTTCATTCATCATCCTCAGAGCAAAACATTATAGAAACTGCATAGGGCCAAGGTGGGAAGAAGGAAAGGAAGGAAGGGGAAAGGGGAAGGGGAAAGGGGAAAGGGGAAGGGAAAGAGAAAGGGAAGTTCAACTATGCGTGTTTAACAGCAAGCACCAGCGGGCCAGGGAAGTGCAGCCATAACAAGCACAATTTGAGCTGTTGCGAAGGTAAAGGGAGAGTTCCTCCATGCCGAAAAGATGCTGTGTTTCATGCATCAGCTGTCAAGATATGGGAAGCAAACTCGTCTTTTGCAAACTAAACACAACATTGTTAAATTTGTTGCCAAGGCAATGCCATGACTTTGTTTAGTGCAGAATAAGGGTGCACAGCTATAGCCAATGAAAATACCAGTTTAGAGATAGAGGTTTAATTATTTTTCTTAGTGTCTTCTAGATAAAAGCACAAATATGTGGTCTCTGAGGAAAGGAAACTAAAAACAGCTCTCCGATTCATTTCAGACACATAGAATATCTATTTTCCTGGTGTAGCTTTCCCAGATTTTTCTATTCCTTATACTGCAGTAGTCATAACTCCCTAACAAGTTGTTACATTGGTGGATAGCTGAAGAATTCATTAACACAGATGGGGATGGTGACAGCCAGAGATGAAGGGGAGGGAGAAGGGGATGAGAGGAAAGAAGACAAAGACACTAGGAATTAAAACTAGAATGAAACTGAAGTAGTTATCCAGACAGCATGTCAGTGTAAATTACTTTAGAGGTTCTTTGAGAATACAGAAATACCAGCCTCTGCCTGCCAAGTTCTGCAGACCTGCTGAGAATCAGGAGGTTTAAATTCATGCCTGGGGTAACCTTAGGAACAATGCAACTTCAGGACCTTCAGGACCAAGGGAAGCCACAGACAACTGCAGCTGCCACCATTTCCCTAGAGATATCCTTTTGCTTTCAGGCATGAGCTGTAAGCAAACTTCTAATCACTAACAAGGCACTGGTTGCTGAAGCACACACACAGTGTGTCACATTTGTGCTCACCAGCACATGTACCACAACACCAGTGCACAAACACTGTGCTTGGACAGCTGGCCACAGGGTGGGTTAGGGAGAAGATTAGCAGCCCCTTCTGCCACTCACCATTCTCCAGACTCTGAAATATAATGCCATGAGACTGAGCTCCATCTTAGCCCATTTACATGCGGTAATGCCCAGAGAGTATTCCCTGGGCCTAGGATTTCAGAGGTGTCTGCAGAAGGCACCCAGACTGGGATTGCACTGAACCTGAAACTGGACCCATAAATTTAAAGTAATACTCTTAAATATTTATTTATGTACCTAAATAAGAAACCATTTCTCGTAATATTCCGAACTCCGAGCACAGCACAGGTCTTTCACTCTCCTTGCCTGTCTCACCACATAGCTGCACTCTTCCCTGTGGGTTTTTGATCAGACCATTGGCAGCAGTAGAGACCCCAGGCTCTGCTGTACGCGTGACAGCCGTAGTGAGAGCTCAGAGCCTGATGTCAGGGGCTGTTTTACAAAATGCTATGCTATTTCCTGCATTTTCCCACTGATGGCTTCAGAGCTGGCTGTGATGTGCTGTTTTTTCCCAGTCATTTACAGCAATGGAGTGTGACACAGGTCAGCTTCAACCTGCAGCTGTGCTCCAGCTTTGAACACTGCTTAACGCAAACCTTTACACCATTATTTTCTGCTTCCAGAAGATGCTTGTGGACTGACCCTGGGAGCACCATTCCCCAGAGGGGCAGGGAGGAGCCCAGACAACTCTCTCCTAGCAGTCCCTAGGAATAACAGAGAGGTCCAGCCTATGGTCTGCAGAGGGAGTTTTCTCCTGGTGAAGGTTAAGGTCACTCAGCACCTCACAATTGGCTTGTCTCCTTGAAAGATCAAAACCTTGCAGAGAAGTATCAGGCTGATTGATGGATCAGCAGGGAGGGCTTCATACAGGACCTGGTTTAAGAGCCCTTCACGGAATTGCCTGGGTCAGAGAGAAAAATATCCTCCAACACTTGCAGTTGCTCCTGAAGAAGATGGTCATGGGAGAGGACACCTCCTCATAAGCCAAAACAACCAAGGAGAGAATGATGAAGCGAATAAGAGCATTATTGCCTCACCAGAGACAGCTATATATTAGTGTGAGAACAAAATTAAGAAGTGAATGTAATAACAAAAGTGTTGAAGCAATGTCAAAATGAGATGATGCTTGCACAGACATCAAATCTATAAACACTGTAGATCACTTAAAATCCACTTGCCCGTAATTCCAGTTGTTGATTTCAGAGACCAAGCCCATTTCTAATGGCTATAAACTGCATGGGTATTTTACAGCTCTCTCTGAGCCAACACACCAGGTTTCCCAAGACCCAGGACACTATCCCTGTGATATCCCAAGTGATTACAAAGGGAACAACATTGCAGCTGCCCCACAGGAGGATGGGTGTGCTTCCCACCCTGTGATAGCCTGGCATCCTCAGCTCACTGCAGAGGCACTCTCTTGGAGAAGGCATCTACCCTCTGAGGAGCAGCGGTAAAGCCACACAGGTAGCTGAGGAGCTTGCTTCCCAGGGTGGTGGCGGAGTCATGCCCTGAGGGACCAGCCACAGTGCCCGCTGCAGGCACTGGCCATCAAGGTTTACACGTTTGATACTTCTTCAAAGGGTATATTTATTTTTTAAATAGTTTGATCCCTCTTTACTGTAATCACGCAATGGATAAATTGTCACGAAAGAGGGCAAGAGAATGAGCGTGTGCCAAAAAGAGGGATGGGGAAATATCTTTACCAGAGAGGACTCTTTCATCTGAACAAACATTTCAGATGATTCAGGCGGCAGTTGAAACGTACCCAAATGTTTTAAATATTCCAGGAAATAGGAAAATACAGAAAACTTCTAAGAAATGCTTAAGCTCTTTGTGAAGATATTAATGACAGAACACTCACTGTACCCTCCTAAGTCCTGTGCTTTGTTATTTTCTAAGTATTTAAACTGCTTCTGGTACAGATAAGCCTTCTCAGACCTTTTCTGTTTGCTTGACATAGCACCTAGCATTTAAGTCATCACCCTGCTAATGTCTTGCTTTTCGTTTGCAAACATAACCTTTAGAGGGGAATGTAACCTTTAAAAGAAAATTGCACACCCTGCAGAGATATGTTTCCGATCTAAGCTCCCTGTCAGACCCACAGCACCACTTCAGCTGTGACCTGGTTTGGTTGTGCCTGATAGTTATCCCTGTATGCATCACGTGAAGGAAATGCATCTCCATCTGTTTACCCAGGATCTCAGCCTGTCTCCAGTTAGCCGGTGGAACTCCCCCAAAACATCTCCCATGTGCCTTGCTAGCAGTCCCTACAGAAGGAAATGGAATGGTGCTTCCTGTCTGTTTCTGAATGGGCGCGTGTCTGTCTATGCATGGGCTGATGTTTACATTCCTACCATACAGGCTTTTCTTATGCCCAGGCAGATGCTGTCCATGCTCACTGACCAGGAACACCTCCATGCAAGTATCTGGTGGCATGAGGGATCAGTATCCCCGTCAGTAACCATCTCCCGCTGTGAGTAATAGGAGAGCCCATTCCCTGAAAGTATAAGTTCTCATAACATACCAAAAAAATCCCAGCATGTGGTCTCTAAATGTCACAGACTACCCTCCCTGGATCCCACTTGGTTTCCAAATTTGTTAGCATTCAGAATCAAAAAACTCTAGGGCTCACTATCTGTCTAGACTTTAACTGTCTGACTTTGGTTTTCTTTGGTTTCTTCCTGAACATTACACTTGAGCACCTCCAGAGAAGACCTGTAGCCCACATCAACTGAAAATAAGCTGTGGAAGAAACCAGTGGCTCATCGCTGAGTGTCACACATCTCAGCAAGCTGGGACCCAGCTGAAGCTTCCCTTCAGAAGTGTCACCTCTCTGGCTGCAAAAGCACACCCTGCTGCTGCAGAATTTGGGTCATATTCTAGAGAAACATCTGGGAGACATCAGAGTGAGGAGAGCTTAATGTCCTGTCCTGCTTTTGTAGGTATCTGTCCACAAATAGTGGCCTTGCAGCACATACGTATGCAGTGAAGAAAACATTTCTGCTTTCACTTGAATAACCACCCCCAGGTCAACACAGCAGAAAGAGAATGTCACCGTCCTGCATTCAGTCCCCTTTCCTCCATAAACTCAAAATTTAATTGCTAAAATATTTACTGCAGTGTGGGGAGAAGGATATGGAAAAGCAAAAGAAAGCCTATGGGGGTTTTGACCCTGATCTTAAGCCTATCTGTTGACCTATACAGCACTGCCTACACCTACACACTGTTAAAACCTAGCTAGCCAGCTGCTCATTGCAATCACCAAGTGGGTGAACTAGCTCAGCTGGCCAGCTCCAGCTAAGGGCACATCCCCTTCCTCATCATTGTCATGCTCCCAGCTAAGCCCCTCTCTGCCCAAGTTCATGCACCCAGCACAACCCTGTAACCCATCTCTGCACCCACTGCCACACTTGTCTGCATGAGTGAGATCTCTCTGGGGGAACAAAGGGGTTTTGCACTAGCTCCCTGTAGTTCATTAGTGTAGTAATCACTATAGAAAGGAGTGGAACTGGCTGAGATGGGAACAGAAGAAATGCTTGTACATGACTGGAAAAAACAAGGATTGTGGCAACTTCTCTTCACACCTTCGGCAGAAGGCAAACGTTTTCCATTTTGGTTTGACATGCAGACTAACCACAGACTTGTAATTCCTGGACCTTGAGAGGCCTTTATGCACTGAGAAAGCCCAAAAACACTTCAGCACACCTATTCCTGTAGAAATGCATTGATTTAAATGATAACGTTATTAAAAGCTCTTCAAAACGTCACAACTTTGAGTAGGAATTTGGTATCACTTTACCACCTCTTACAATTAATTTCAAACTGATGAATGAAATTCTTTGGTCAATGAAGACATCTGCAGTGATTCCTC